GTGACTAAAGTGGTGGCTGTTGATGTGGACTCTGGACAGAATGCCTGGCTCTCATATAAACTGCAGAAAGCCACAGACAGGGCGCTGTTTGAAGTGGGCGCACAGAATGGAGAAATAAGAACTGTGCGCCAAGTGACCGATAAAGATGCTGTGAAGCAGAAGCTCACTGTTGTAGTGGAGGACAACGGGCAGCCCTCTCGTTCAGCTACGGTCAATATTAACGTGGCGGTGGCGGACAGTTTTCCCGAAGTGCTCTCGGAGTTCACTAAATTTACGCACGACAAGGATTACAACGACAACCTGACTTTCTATCTAGTCTTGGCCTTGGCTGTAGTTTCATTTCTCTTTATCGTCTCCATCATAGCCATACTGTCAGTCAAATGCTACAGATGGAGACGAGAGCGGATGTTTTATAAATCAGGTGCCAATCTGCCAGTTATTCCATATTATCCACCCCTTTACGCAGACGTAGGAGGGACGGGGACTTTACAGCATGTGTATAATTATGAGGTCTGCAGAACGACTGACTCCAGAAAGAGTGATCTGAAATATGCCAGACCTTCCAGTGAGAGCATCATTAGTTTGGACACCAGTGGAACACAGACTCTCACACATGCGCAGAGGGAGCAACTCAGCAGTGATAGTTCCCATGATCAGGTGAGGTCGGCCTTTTATTAATGTTTTAAAATGTGTTCCTTTATTAATCCATTCACTCAACTAAAAGTCTAACTTTCGCAAGCAGTATCATGTTCTGTCTGTCTCAGTATGCGCATGGATTATATGTAATCTTGACTATTTTGTGAAGTAGAAAGTAATCTGCGTAACAGTGTTTTGGTTATATGGAGTTGTGCTATGGTTACCACTAAGCCTTGCTCCACACAATAACATGGTGCACTGATAGAGAATCACATGATGTTGCGTGGCCTTATATATCGACAATTTTTGTATTGAACCTATCAGATTTATATACATAATTCAATTGATGCGTGCATACACTTTATGGAGTATTTTAGCTTCAGCAAATCAAATTCTAGAACTGAACAATCTCAATATTTCGCTCATTTTGTTTTTTGTAACTGCTTAGACGTTGGCGCTACGTCGCTGTCCGTGGTGCTGAATTGAGCTCACCTATTGAGTACAAATGTCTTTGTTGCGTCACAAATGTTTTTTGCATTTGACTTTTTGTAGCTTTGTAATTCTCAGATAAGCATTTCAACATAAATTTCAACATTTCAACATTTCAACACACATTAAAATTACTTTCAATTTAACATTTCATTCATTTATTCTTTTTTATCTATATGTTTATTAAGGTTGATAGATTTTAAAATGTTTCCTGCTTGGTGAACTATAGTTAAGCAGCATTTGTTCTGCATATTTAGTGCAGTACATCATATTGAACTCCAAGTGCCGCTGTTGACCAGTGTGTTGACGTTCGGTTGTGAATTTCTAGCAGTGCCTCCCCCATTACGTTGACATTTTAGAGAGAGCACAAGAGCACTCAGAGCGCATGAGGAAGAAACAGATCACGAATCGTGGAAACGTCAACTGTTCAAAAGGGTTTATTTTTGAAAGAAGTGTCTTCATCTTTATAAACACTGTAGGCTGAACTGGATATTTTTTTTTCTGTCTGAGCATGGCATGGGATTTGTATCTTGTTTGACTCACAGTAGCAGTGGATCTATTTTCGTGTCGCAGAGGAAAATGTCGGACAGAACAATGGCGCGGCAAGTACTGCTGTTTATTTGTCTCGTCTCTCTCAGTTCAGTGCGCGGACAGGTCAGTTACTCCATTCCCGAGGAAATGCCCAAAGGATCTTTAGTCGGTAACATAGCGCAGGATTTAGGTTTAGATTTAAAGAGACTGAAATCAGGAAAAGCTCGTATTTATACTGGAGACAGCGCTGAATACATCGAGCTGAATAAAGAGAGGGGAGTCCTCCTTATCAAAGAGAGAATAGACCGAGAAGCGTTGTGCGGACAGACAACGCCTTGTGCTCTACATTTTCAGATCATTTTGGAAAACCCGATGGAGTTTTACAGTATCACTGTTGAAATAGTAGATATTAACGACAATGCGCCGAGCTTCGAGAAAGAGGAAATTCATTTTAAAATCAGTGAATCAGCTATTACAGGTTTCAAATTCACGTTAGAGCCTGCAGTAGATCTCGATGTAGGTATTAATAGCTTAAAAAGCTACTCTTTGAAACCAACCGATCACTTCGTCCTCAAATTTAACAACCAGCCAAGCAGAGGACAAAATGTTGAGATGGTTTTACAAAAGCCCTTAGATCGTGAAACAGAACAGCACATGTCATTGGTACTGACTGCAATTGATGGAGGTGACCCTCAGTTGTTTGGAAATATAAAGATTCATATAACTGTATTAGACGCAAATGATAACGCCCCTGTTTTTACGCAGTCAGTGTATAAAGCTAATGTTAGAGAAAATGCTCCAAAAGGATCCATTATAACGACAGTGAATGCAACTGATTCCGATGAAGGCTCTAACAGTTTAATAGAGTATTCCATAACAAATACACAAGATAATGTCCGTCAGGTTTTTTATATAAACGGACAGAACGGCCAGGTTGCAGTTAGAGAAAATATCGACTATGAAAAGGCTCACCATTACGAGATTCGTGTACAAGCCAGTGATCGTGGAGGTCTCACAGACTCCTGTAAAATTATAGTTGATGTAATTGATATCAACGATAACAGTCCATCCATAAACATTATGTCAAAAACAAATACAATCGCTGAGGATTCTAAGCCAGAGACAGTTGTCACAATGATAAACGTTCAAGATCCCGACTCTGGAGAAAACGGGAAAGTTCAATGCTTTCTCAGTGAGAATATTCCCTTTACACTGAAGTCAACTACTAACAATTTCTTTAGTCTAGTCACGGACAGTAATTTAGACCGAGAGAGAGAGTCTGGTTACAATATCAGTGTGATCTGCGCTGATGAGGGGTCTCCATCTCTCTCCAGCAGCGTCACTCTCTCCTTACAGATATCAGATGTGAATGATAACGCTCCTGTGTTTGAGAGGAGCTCATATGAGGCCTCCATTCCAGAAAACAACACACCAGGTCTCTCCATATTCACAGTCAGAGCCAGAGACGCAGACTGGAACCAGAATGCGCGAGTGTCCTACATACTGGAGGACTCGTCGGTTAACGGAGTGCCCGTCTCCTCTTACGTATCTGTCAGTGCTGATAGCGGCGTTATCCATGCAGTGCGCTCTTTTGACTACGAGCAGATCAAAGATTTCCACTTCCGCGTAATAGCGCAAGATGGAGGCTCCCCTCCTCTCAGTAGCGATGTGAATGTGAAGATCATCATTCAGGACCAGAACGACAACGCGCCTCAGGTTCTGTACCCAGTCCAGACTGGGGGCTCTGTGGTGGCTGAAATGGTGCCTCGCTCAGCAGATGTGGGCTATCTCGTGACTAAAGTGGTGGCTGTTGATGTGGACTCTGGACAGAATGCCTGGCTCTCATATAAACTGCAGAAAGCCACAGACAGGGCGCTGTTTGAAGTGGGCGCACAGAATGGAGAAGTAAGAACTGTGCGCCAAGTGACCGATAAAGATGCTGTGAAGCAGAAGCTCACTGTTGTAGTGGAGGACAACGGGCAGCCCTCTCGTTCAGCTACGGTCAGTATTAACGTGGCGGTGGCGGACAGTTTCCCTGAAGTGCTCTCGGAGTTCACTGACTTTACGCACGACAAGGATTACAACGACAACCTGACTTTCTATCTAGTCTTGGCCTTGGCTGTAGTTTCATTTCTCTTTATCGTCTCCATCATAGCCATACTGTCAGTCAAATGCTACAGATGGAGACGAGAGCGGATGTTTTATAAATCAGGTGCCAATCTGCCAGTTATTCCATATTATCCACCCCTTTACGCAGACGTAGGAGGGACGGGGACTTTACAGCATGTGTATAATTATGAGGTCTGCAGAACGACTGACTCCAGAAAGAGTGATCTGAAATATGCCAGACCTTCCAGTGAGAGCATCATTAATTTGGACACCAGTGGAACACAGACTCTCACGCATGCGCAGAGGGAGAAACTGAGCAATAATTCAGATGATCAGGTGAGCTATTTTCTTTTTATTTTGGGGGCTATTGAAGTATCCCGAGTCATGTCAGTTAGTTTTTACAAGTATGTAATGCTGATGTGTGTTAAGCAATGCATTTAACACGAGACGAGGTTAAATGTTAAAATATTCAACTCATATTACAATAGAAAAGATGTCTGCAATAGCAGCAAGCTTAGACACGTTGGGGTTTTAAAATTATATTTTCGGTGCTCTGCTTCTCCGTTTTTAGCCTTTTATGTGTACATCGAGGGTCATTTGCTGAAAGTTTAGTTTTGTTTTGTTTTCTCTCCATTTAATTGAGTTTTTGCTCCTTTTTGTCGCGTATGCTGAGTCATTGTTTGATGCTTCGCGCTGCTTCCAATCGTTCTTACCATTGTTAGAATACATGTATGTGTGTGTGTGTGTGTGTGTGTGTGTGTGTGTGTGTGTGTGTGTGTGTGAAAGTGTTCATTCCAAAACGCATCAAACGCCACTTTCATTAATTTTCTTTTCTTTTCATGATTTCCGTTATTGGGAATTGGCTGTACACATATAAGAAATATGCATTCTGCTGCATGATTTTACCTCTTTAGATGAAAAAGAAATAACAAAATACTTTTTTGACAAAAGAGCTTTGTAATATGCCAGCTGATATATATATATATATATATATATATATATATATATATATATATATATATATATATATATATATATATATATATTTATTTTCAAAGACTAGTTATTAAACATTGCTAAGTGAACGTTTTGGAGTGGAGCTTTTCATATTTTCGAATCGAGTTCATATGCTTGTATTTAATCGTAGTGAACTCTGAGGGCCGCTGTTGGACAACATGTTGTAGTTTCTGATACCCAGAAGTACCACCCCTTCTTCGTCTTTATTAAAGAACGAAAATACGTAAGGGGGTAAGCAGCCAAAGGACACACGATAACACGGAGATACTGTGCATGGATATCTTTTGTTCTGGAGAACAGAACACAATTCCCATGATATTTCAAAATACTGGCATATATTCCTCAGTTATCGCCGCAGTCGAGTAATTTCTTTGTGGATTTCACTCTGTTTTTTTCGTGTCGCAGAGGAAAATGTCGGACAGAACAATGGCGCGGCAAGTACTGCTGTTTATTTGTCTCCTCTCTCTCAGTTCAGTGCACGGACAGGTCAGTTACTCCATTCCTGAGGAAATGCCCAAAGGATCTTTAGTCGGTAACATAGCGCAGGATTTAGGTTTAGATTTAAAGAGACTGAAATCAGGAAAAGCTCGTATTTATACTGGAGACAGCGCTGAATACATCGAGCTGAATAAAGAGAGGGGAGTCCTCCTTATCAAAGAGAGAATAGACCGAGAAGCGCTGTGCGCACAGACAACGCCTTGTGCTCTACATTTTCAGATCATTTTAGAGAATCCAGTCGAGCTGTTGAGAATAACCGTTGAAATAACAGATATTAATGATAACCCCCCAACCTTTGAAAAGTCCGAAATGAAATTTAGAATCAGTGAATCGGCAGTAATAGGAAGTAAATTTATGTTGGAAAGGGCCATGGATCCGGATGTCGGTATAAATGACCTTCAAAGCTATTCTCTTAGTCCTAAAGACAATTTCATTCTGAAAATGAAAAATCAGCCTGACGGAACTAAACTGGTTGAAATGGTTTTACAAAAGGAGCTTGACAGAGAAAAGCAAGATAGGATTTCTTTAATTCTGACAGCGGTAGATGGAGGTGACCCAAAATTGTCTGGCACTGCGCAAATACATGTAACAGTATTAGATGTAAATGACAATGCACCAGTTTTTACGCAGCCTTTTTATAAGTCCACAGTGAGAGAAAACGCTCCGAAAGGCACAGTCCTCGGTAAAGTTAGCGCATCAGATGCTGATAACGATGGTAACGGTGAAATTATTTACAGCATAACAAACACAATGGACAATGTCCGTGAAATATTTGAAGTGGACCAAAATAATGGAGAGGTATTGGTGAGGGGAGAAATTGATTTTGAAAAGTCTCGTCATTATGAAATACATTTTCAAGCTACTGATGAAGGTGGACTCACAGACTCATGCAAAATGCTTGTTGATGTTATAGATGCAAATGATAATGTTCCTTTAATTAATATATTGACAATGACACAAAAAATAAGTGAGGATTCTAAACCAGGGACAGTAGTTGCTATGATGAACGTGCAAGATCCGGATTCAGAAGACAATGGAAAAGTTATTTGTTCAATAAATGAAAATCTGCCTCTTGGGCTGAAATCGGCATCTGATAATTTCTATAGTATTGTAACTGAAAATGATTTAGACCGAGAGAGAGAGTTTGGTTATAATATCAGTGTGATCTGCGCTGATGAGGGATCTCCATCTCTCTCCAGCAGCGTCACTCTCTCCTTACAGATATCAGATGTGAATGATAACGCTCCTGTGTTTGAGAGGAGCTCATATGAGGCCTCCATTCCAGAAAATAACACACCAGGTCTCTCCATATTCACAGTCAGAGCCAGAGACGCAGACTGGAACCAGAATGCGCGAGTCTCCTACATACTGGAGGACTCGTCGGTTAACGGAGTGCCCGTCTCCTCTTACGTATCTGTCAGTGCTGATAGCGGCGTTATCCATGCAGTGCGCTCTTTTGACTACGAGCAGATCAAAGATTTCCAGTTCCGCGTAATAGCGCAAGATGGAGGCTCCCCTCCTCTCAGTAGCAACGTGAGTGTGAAGATCATCATTCAGGACCAGAACGACAACGCGCCTCAGGTTCTGTACCCAGTCCAGACTGGGGGCTCTGTGGTGGCTGAAATGGTGCCTCGCTCAGCAGATGTGGGCTATCTCGTGACTAAAGTGGTGGCTGTTGATGTGGACTCTGGACAGAATGCCTGGCTCTCATATAAACTGCAGAAAGCCACAGACAGGGCGCTGTTTGAAGTGGGCGCACAGAATGGAGAAATAAGAACTGTGCGCCAAGTGACCGATAAAGATGCTGTGAAGCAGAAACTCACTGTTGTAGTGGAGGACAACGGGCAGCCCTCTCGTTCAGCTACGGTCAATATTAACGTGGCGGTGGCGGACAGTTTCCCTGAAGTGCTCTCGGAGTTCACTGACTTTACGCACGACAAGGATTACAACGACAACCTGACTTTCTATCTAGTCTTGGCCTTGGCTGTAGTTTCATTTCTCTTTATCGTCTCCATCATAGCCATACTGTCAGTCAAATGCTACAGATGGAGACGTGAGCGGATGTTTTATAAATCAGGTGCCAATCTGCCAGTTATTCCATATTATCCACCCCTTTACGCAGACGTAGGAGGGACGGGGACTTTACAGCATGTGTATAATTATGAGGTTTGCAGAACGACTGACTCCAGAAAGAGTGATCTGAAATATGCCAGACCTTCCAGTGAGAGCATCATTAGCTTGGACACCAGTGGCACACAGACTCTGACGCATGCGCAGAGGGAGAAACTGGCCACTGATAATTCTGATACACAGGTGAGCTTTAATCATGTGTCTAAGTGTTTCATCTAAAATCTTATTTGTTTGTTTTCATAGGTCACTTTAATTTTTAAGGCAGCATTTGTTTATCTGTCTTTACATTTCCTTTATAATTTAAAGGTAGTCGGTTCAAAATAATGTCTGAATGGAAAAAGGGTTTTGTGTCTTTCGCTGGCCATGGTTCTGAAGTTATGATGAGCACCCAGGCAAGCTAACTTTACATCGTGTCTTTTATGTACTTATACATATAACGATTTTTAAAAGTCTGCTTTTATAATTTGTGAGTAGTTGTATTTGATTAAGTTTTCGGCGTTAGTTTCAGCTGTTTTCAAACTGCGTATTACTTTATACGTTTTGACTAACAAATTATATTCCAGTCAAGTTTTTTATCATTTCTCTTGTTGTTCTTCTCAGTCTTCTTATTTTTTATTTATTTATTTTTTTGGTCTACTTACTATATTGGAATGATATTGCTTCTCCTGGAAAATGCCTCTCTGAGCTTCGTGGAAGCAAATATAAGTTAGTTGTAATATTTGTGTAGTTCATCGTGTTGGACTCAGTGTGCCGCTGTTGGATAGTGTGCTGAGATTCAGATAGCAGGTTTCATGCAGAGCCTCGACAACCATTTGCCATGTCAGAGAGAGAAAGGAGAGCACAGTCCGAGAAGGTGAAGAAAGGGAGAAAGAATCCGTGGAGAAATGCAGCTCTGATTTGTTTTGGAAATACCGATTCACTTTTTTTATTCTTGCTGTAGTGGGATTTGTTGACCTGAAACCGACTGGATTTAAATCTTTCAGTCCCAAACATCTTTTTGCCAGACATTCCATCTAGCAAAATGTCGGACAGAACAATGGCGCGGCAAGTACTGCTGTTTATTTGTCTCGTCTCTCTCAGTTCAGTGCGCGGACAGGTCAGTTACTCCATTCCCGAGGAAATGCCCAAAGGATCTTTAGTCGGTAACATAGTGCAGGATTTAGGTTTAGATTTAAAGAGACTGAAATCAGGAAAAGCTCGTATTTATACTGGAGACAGCGCTGAATACATCGAGCTGAATAAAGAGAGGGGAGTCCTCCTTATCAAAGAGAGAATAGACCGAGAAGCGCTATGCAGACAGGCAACGCCTTGCGCTCTACATTTCCAGATCATTCTGGAAAACCCGATGGAATTTTACAGCATTGCTGTCGAAATCACAGACGTAAATGATAATCCACCTCTCTTCAAAAAAACTGAAATGAAATTTGAAATTAGTGAATTTACACAAACCGGTGCGAAATTCACACTGGAAAGAGCAATTGATCATGATGTCGGTGTTAACGGGCTACATAGCTATTCGTTAAAACCCAGTGATCATTTTATCTTAAATCCACAGAGCCAGTCAGCGGGTAATAACAAGGTAGAAATGGTTTTACAGAAGCCTTTGGATCGCGAGCAAGAGAAACATTTAACATTGCTGCTAACTGCTGTAGATGGAGGCATCCCTCAGATGTCTGGCACAATGCAGATAGAGATTACCGTATTAGACGCTAATGACAACGCGCCTGTATGTTCTCAGTCCGCGTTTAAAACCAGTGTGGCTGAAAACTCACCAAAAGGCACAGTTGTAGCTACTGTTACCGCGACTGATGCCGACGAGGGACCAAACGGAAAACTTACGTATGCCATAACAAACAGTGTCGAAGAAGACCTGTTTGAAATAAATGGTGAGGATGGTGTGCTGACATTAATAGGCGATATTGATTATGAAATTACGCGTTCTCATGAGATTGACGTTCAAGTTACAGACCAGGGAGGTCACTCTGATTCCTGCAAAGTCATTGTTGATGTCCTTGACACAAATGACAACAAACCAGCCATTAACCTTATGTCAAAATCGAAAGCTGTATCTGAGAGCTCATTACCTGGTACTGTAATTGCAATGATAAATGCCGCGGATCCAGATTCAGGAGAAAATGGCAAAGTTCAGTGCTCTATAGACGATTACATACCTTTCACATTAAAGTCTAGGTCTGCCAGTTTCTTCAGTTTAGTAACCGATGGTGATTTAGACCGAGAGAGAGAGTCTGGTTATAATATCAGTGTGATCTGCGCTGATGAGGGGTCTCCATCTCTCTCCAGCAGCGTCACTCTCTCCTTACAGATATCAGATGTGAATGATAACGCTCCTGTGTTTGAGAGGAGCTCATATGAGGCCTCCATTCCAGAAAATAACACACCAGGTCTCTCCATATTCACAGTCAGAGCCAGAGACGCAGACTGGAACCAGAATGCGCGAGTCTCCTACATACTGGAGGACTCGTCGGTTAACGGAGTGCCCGTCTCCTCTTACGTATCTGTCAGTGCTGATAGCGGCGTTATCCATGCAGTGCGCTCTTTTGACTACGAGCAGATCAAAGATTTCCAGTTCCGCGTAATAGCGCAAGATGGAGGCTCCCCTCCTCTCAGTAGCAATGTGAGTGTGAAGATCATCATTCAGGACCAGAACGACAACACGCCTCAGGTTCTGTACCCAGTCCAGACTGGGGGCTCTGTGGTGGCTGAAATGGTGCCTCGCTCAGCAGATGTGGGCTATCTTGTGACTAAAGTGGTGGCTGTTGATGTGGACTCTGGACAGAATGCCTGGCTCTCATATAAACTGCAGAAAGCCACAGACAGGGCGTTGTTTGAAGTGGGCGCACAGAATGGAGAAATAAGAACTGTGCGCCAAGTGACCGATAAAGATGCTGTGAAGCAGAAGCTCACTGTTGTAGTGGAGGACAACGGGCAGCCCTCTCGTTCAGCTACGGTCAATATTAACGTGGCGGTGGCGGACAGTTTCCCTGAAGTGCTCTCGGAGTTCACTGACTTTACGCATGACAAGGATTACAACTACAACCTGACTTTCTATCTAGTCTTGGCCTTGGCTGTAGTTTCATTTCTCTTTATCGTCTCCATCATAGCCATACTGTCAGTCAAATGCTACAGATGGAGACGTGAGCGGCTGTTTTATAAATCAGGTGCCAATCTGCCAGTTATTCCATATTACCCACCCCTTTACGCAGACGTAGGAGGGACGGGGACTTTACAGCATGTGTATAATTATGAGGTTTGCAGAACGACTGACTCCAGAAAGAGTGATCTGAAATATGCCAGACCTTCCAGTGAGAGCATCATTAGTTTGGACACCAGTGGAACGCAGACTCTGACGCATGCGCAGAGGGGGAAACTGAGCGAGGTCGACGATCAGGTGGGCAATACTATTTAGGATTATTAATGTTACATATTTTCTACTAGTTTTCTGATATTCATTTTATACATTTGATATTCCTGACAGTAACAGTCTAGACTAAATGTTTTACTTTTAATTTGTAGCGCTTTCCAAAATAAGCACATATGCGCAAATATCTAAGGCTGTTCCGTTTTTGTTTTCTTTTCACAGAAAATTTAAAGAGCATATTGATCTTAAATGATTACCTGAAGTTAATTGTACATAATTGTTGAGTCTCGACTCGAATCTTTTAACCAAAGTTTTTGTTATCACTTTGCTTGACATGATGTAGATTGCATGATTTCCTTTTTTATTGTCTTATTTCCCGCGTTACATATGATTTGTAATTAAGTACTTGAGTACAAGTGTAATTGTGATTTTCAGTGTACTTCATGATCTTTTGCTCTATATTTTTTAAACTTATTTTCCGAAGCTTTACTGTAATAATGATACAATGACTATAGTGTTGTAGTTATTTACGCTTCGTCGCTGACCGTGGTCCTGAAATAGAGGTCTCAGGTTATAGACGCATATTTCCAGGAATGCTTTCACGGATACCATTTGGCAATAAATTAAAGCAATCTTCTCTAACTCTGGTCCTGGTAAGCTACCTTGCTGCAGAGTTTAGTTCAAACCTGTATATAATCAGCTGCCCCGCCCCTTACGTAACTCTGTTAGATCTGATGCAGCCAATCAGGGACTTGGGAAAAGGCTGATTAGCTGGTGCAGGTGTGTCCAATTGTGGTTGGAACTGGGCTCTGCAGGAAGGCAGCTCTCCAGGGCCAAGGTTGGCGACCACTGCAGTAAAGCAAGGTTAGTTGTGTTGACATTGCAGAATATATACATAAATTATATTGAAATGGCTGATAGTGGGGTCCACACAGGTGATCTGCAAGTTAAACTGATATAGAGTTATTCGTATTATAACTAAGTGAAATTTCACATTGTGCAATACATCATATACATAGACGCGTGAGTGTGTGTGTGTGTGTGTGTGTGTGTGTGTGTGTGTGTGTGTGTGTGTGTTTAATGTGGTTGCCCCTTCTTGCTGTGGCATGATGTGACTCACCTGACAGCTCCTGTACTCTGTTATTTAAAGTTCGTTTTCATTGATGTAGTTCCCCTCAATGGACTCAGAGTGCCGCTATTTGTCAATGTGTTGAGGGTTTTCTAGCAATGCATCCTCCCCCAATAACTCTATATAAGAGGAGAAAAAGAGAAAGAGACGTAAGCAGAAAACAGAAAAGCAAAGGAGATGTCACGAAGCGTGGTGATAACGAGTTTGGTACATTTTTTCATGGATTTCTGACTACTTTGGCTGTTTATCAACACCTTTTTAATCCTGAGCCTCTTCATTTTATACAAATATTTTGGTTTTCTCATAACTGCCTGGAAAATATGATTCGTCTCGTGTCGCAGAGGAAAATGTCGGACAGAACAATGGCGCGGCAAGTACTGCTGTTTATTTGTCTCGTCTCTCTCAGTTCAGTGCGCGGACAGGTCAGTTACTCCATTCCTGAGGAAATGCCCAAAGGATCTTTAGTCGGTAACATAGCGCAGGATTTAGGTTTAGATTTAAAGAGACTGAAATCAGGAAAAGCTCGTATTTATACTGGAGACAGCGCTGAATACATCGAGCTGAATAAAGAGAGGGGAGTCCTCCTTATCAAAGAGAGAATAGACCGAGAAGCGCTGTGCGCACAGACAACGCCTTGTGCTCTACATTTCCAGATCATTTTAGAGAATCCAATGGAGTTTTTCAGTGTAATGATAGAGGTTACTGATGTAAACGACAATCCTCCGCATTTCAGTAAGAGTGAGATGAAATTTGAAATTAGTGAATCAGCGCTGAGTGGGGCGAGGTTTGTTCTAGAGAGGGCTGTTGACGAAGATGTTGGCATTAACGGACTACAAAGCTATACTTTAAAACCCACCGACAATTTTGTTATTAAATTGCAAAGCTTATCCAGTGGTAGCAAAAACGTTGAAATGGTGCTTCAAAAGCCACTAGATCGAGAGAAACAGGAACATATGACGTTACTATTGACCGCTGTGGACGGAGGCAATCCGCAGATGTCTGGCACAATGCAGATACAGATTAACGTTCTAGATGCTAATGACAATGCACCAGTTTGCTCCCAGTCTGTGTATAAAGCCAGCGTTACCGAAAATTCTCCGAAAGGAACATTTTTGACTACGATAAATGCTGTCGATGCGGATGAAGGCCCAAATGGATTGATATCTTATGCGTTATCAAACAATCCAGGCGCTGCGAATGTATTTGCGATTAACAACAACGACGGAATACTGAGAGTAACTGGTAACATAGATTTTGAGAAAATAAAATCGTATGAGATTGACGTACTTGCTACAGACGAAGGCGGTTATTCTGACACGTGTAAAGTAATTATAGATGTAATTGACACGAATGACAACAGTCCTTTAATCAACATTATGTCAAAATCAAATGACATTTCTGAAAATGCAAAAATAGGAACCGTAATTTCAATAATAAATGTTCAGGACAGTGATTCGGGAGACAGTGGTAGAGTGCAGTGTTCAACAAACCAAAATGTTCCTTTTGCACTAAAATCCACGTCAAGTAATTTCTTTAGTTTAGTAACGGACGCGGAATTAGACCGAGAGAGAGAGTCTGGTTATAATATCAGTGTGATCTGCGCTGATGAGGGGTCTCCATCTCTCTCCAGCAGCGTCACTCTCTCCTTACAGATATCAGATGTGAATGATAACGCTCCTGAGTTTGAGAGGAGCTCATATGAGGCCTCCATTCCAGAAAACAACACACCAGGTCTCTCCATATTCACGGTCAGAGCCAAAGACGCAGACTGGAACCAGAATGCGCGAGTCTCCTACATACTGGAGGACTCGTCGGTTAACGGAGTGCCTGTCTCCTCTTGCGTATCTGTCAGTGCTGATAGCGGCGTTATCCATGCAGTGCGCTCTTTTGACTACGAGCAGATCAAAGATTTCCAGTTCCGCGTAATAGCGCAAGATGGAGGCTCCCCTCCTCTCAGTAGCAATGTGAGTGTGAAGATCATCATTCAGGACCAGAACGACAACGCGCCTCAGGTTCTGTACCCAGTCCAGACTGGGGGCTCTGTGGTGGCTGAAATGGTGCCTCGCTCAGCAGATGTGGGCTATCTTGTGACTAAAGTGGTGGCTGTTGATGTGGACTCTGGACAGAATGCCTGGCTCTCATATAAACTGCAGAAAGCCACAGACAGGGCGCTGTTTGAAGTGGGCGCACAGAATGGAGAAATAAGAACTGTGCGCCAAGTGACCGATAAAGATGCTGTGAAGCAGAAGCTCACTGTTGTAGTGGAGGACAACGGGCAGCCCTCTCGTTCAGCTACGGTCAATATTAACGTGGCGGTGGCGGACAGTTTCCCTGAAGTGCTCTCGGAGTTCACTGACTTTACGCACGACAAGGATTACAACGACAACCTGACTTTCTATCTAGTCTTGGCCTTGGCTGTAGTTTCATTTCTCTTTATCGTCTCCATCATAGCCATACTGTCAGTCAAATGCTACAGATGGAGACGTGAGCGGATGTTTTATAAATCAGGTGCCAATCTGCCAGTTATTCCATATTATCCACCCCTTTACGCAGACGTAGGAGGGACGGGGACTTTACAGCATGTGTATAATTATGAGGTCTGCAGAACGACTGACTCCAGAAAGAGTGATCTGAAATATGCCAGACCTTCCAGTGAGAGCATCATTAGCTTGGACACTAGTGGAACACAGACTCTGACGCATGCGCAGAGGGAGAAACTTTCGAATGACTCTGGTGATCAGGTGAGCTTCATTGTTTAATTACCTGTTTTTCTAACCCTGAAATATCATCACGCTTTTCTTACTTTACGGAAACGCTTTTTTTGCCTGTTGGTAGTGTCTCGCTGACCATGGTGCTGAAATTCTCTCATGTTTGGAGACGTTCCCTATATCAGAACTTATGTATTTACCCATTCTCATGCACTTAGGCAGTAATATGCATTTGAACCGTCGTTCCTACATTCCGCGTACTGTTTTAATTTAGCATATTGTTGTGGGTTTTATGACAAACTTACAGGACTGTTAAGAGAGTTTTATGGCAACTTCATAATAAATTCTAAAGAACAGTCTAGTATATCTTTTTGAATAGTTTTTGAGATTTCTAAAATGGAAATTGCAAAATGTCACTGATCCCAAGGTATATAATCATTTCATATTTATTTTATAGTCTGTCACATTTTTGAAAATTTTTCTGCTTTACTCTTTCGCTATAGACTCGATTTCTCCAAGTTAAATTAAAATAAATGCCTCTTAACTCTACTAATGTAGTTCATCAGATTGAACTCTGAGTGCCGCTGTTGGTCAGTGTGTGGAGATTTAAGGTTGGTAGTTCCCACCGTTATCTCCAGAGAAGAAAGAAAACCGACATTACGAGAGCACAGAGGGAGAAGAAAGGACACGAACCGCAGAGATCACTAATCTGCTTTGTTCCAGCCACTTCTAACTTATTTTTTTTCATTGTTGATCGTTTGGACATCGATAAGGAAATCAATTTATATGGATTAATTTAAAACGTCGTTGAGTGTCGCCAAGAGAAATGTCGGACAGAACAATGGCGCGGCAAGTACTGCTGTTTATTTGTCTCGTCTCTCTCAGTTCAGTGCACGGACAGGTCAGTTACTCCATTCCTGAGGAAATGCCCAAAGGATCTTTAGTCGGTCACATAGTGCAGGATTTAGGTTTAGATTTAAAGAGACTGAAATCAGGAAAAGCTCGTATTTATACTGGAGACAGCGCTGAATACATCGAGCTGAATAAAGAGAGGGGAGTCCTCCTTATCAAAGAGAGAATAGACCGAGAAGCGCTGTGCGGACAGACAACGCCTTGTGCTCTACATTTCCAGATTACATTGGAAAACCCAATTGAGCTGTTTAGGGTGACCGTTGAAATTACAGATACAAACGATAACGCTCCGAGCTTTAAAAATAACGAGAAAC